TCAGGGTCTCAAAATAAGTCAGGGCCTCTTCAACACAGAGTCCTGTTTCTCTGGCCCCAAGTTGCTGCACGTCACAGGACAAGGGGTGGGGATGGGGAGAGGGTAAGTGGCCCTGAGCCACCAAGCTGGGTTTTGTGAACTTGTCCCATCTCATCTTTTTCACTTGTCACCCCCTCTCCCTGGCATAGTCCTTCTTCCACGGTCACCTGAGGATATGTATTCATCCTTTCACGAATCAGTTGGAGGGGACACAAAGGACAGACGTCCTTCTGTAAAGGACTCTCATCTACATTATTGAAAGGCTGTGTTGAACCCTTCCGCTACTGAGAACTCCCTGCCTCACAAGGGACCCCACTCCTCTTTAGGACCACCATACACGTTAGAAGCTACCTTCCTTTCCTCGGACATCCAGCTACCTCCTGGAATATCTCTCTTATTGGTTGGAGTTGGCCAGACTTTGGGTAAAATCTTCCCTCTACCTGATAGAGCTTTAGAAATTCCAAGGTCTGTTTTCATATATCTGCTAAGCCTTCCTCTCTAGGTTAAGATGCACATGGTTCTCTGTCCTCAATGGTCTCATTCTCCAACCTTTCTCTCCTCTCTGTCCTGGAGGTCCCTTTGCTGTTAGCAACCCAAATTCCTTAGCACCTTGGGGCCTGAGGGAGCGGGTCATGCCTGGCGAGTCTCCATGGAATACCCACCCAGCCAAAACTAGTAGAGATTTTGCCCACATGAGTTTAGGAGTCCCCAGGGGTCAAGGTGTATTGGACCCATGCCCTACCCCTCCTCCGTGTTTACCTATAGCCCTCAGTGGACATCGACTCCTAGACTGAGGACCCAGTGAGCCCAGGATGCCTGATCTGAGTGAAATCTTGAATCCATGGCCTCATATTTCTTGCACTGGGTTGTGCTGACTCCCCAAAGCCCTCAGCCATCAGCTTGGGCCTCTCGATGGTCTGCAGGGTAGGTGGGGTACATTCTGACTTTACTAGAAGATTTTGGGGGGAGGGGGCGGAAGACAAGTAATGTAACTGGCAAGTAGTTCAAAATGATATTTTTATATTAAGACAAATGCATATACATTATGTGATAGAATGTCGGTATGTGAATTTCAAAGCCACAACCTCCAACTGCAGAATTTTACACTACGGGAGGGATGCTTCAGGCAATTTTTTTAAGAGTTCAGTCCCCATTTCTTGATTGACTGACCCCCCACTGCTGAAGGGCATTTGGGTGGAAAATTTGGAGATGCTCTGGTGTAATTGCTCCCTTTTGTTACTAGAGCCACGTGAGGACCAGAGTAGGGAGGTGATTAGCCTGAGGGCACACTGCAGGAAGGAGCCTGGAAACCCACATTTGTTCTTTCCTCTGTATGGAGAAATGCTGCATTTGCTTTATAAGAATGCTGACCATGGGACACTTAGGGTGGCTCAGTCAGTTAAGTGTTTGCCTTCAGCTCAGGTCAGGATCCCAGGGTCCTGGGATCGAGTTCTGCATTGGGCTCTCTGCTCAGCAGGGAGCCTGCTTTTCCCTCTCCTTCTGCCTGCTGCTCCCCCTGCTTATGCCCTTTCTCTCTCTCTCTCTCTCTCTCTCTCTCTGAAAAATAAATAAATAAAATCTTTAAAAAAAAAAAAAAGAAAAGAAAAAAAGAATGCTGACCATGGCAAGAAAGGGGATTGCATTGCTGGGGGGAGGGGGGTCAGGAGAAGGGGTGTGGTTATGGACATTGGGGAGGGTATGTGCTATGGTGAGTGCTGTGAAGTGTGTAAACCAGGCGATTCACAGACCTGTACCCCTGGGGATAAAAATACATTATATGTTTATAAAAATAAAAATAAAAAAAATAGAACAGATGCTAATTGAAAAAAAGGGGGGGATTGCAAACAGAAAAAGGGGCTCTGGGAAACCCTGGGTTACCCAGAAAACACAGCTCAAAGAACAGTTTTACTCAGAGAGTCTGTGCTCTGGGTTCTGAGTAGAGTTGACTCCGTTCAATGGCAATCCTTACCTCTTTCAGGAGCTCGTGTTCCCTGCTTGGGAAAGAGGTTCGGTGAGAAGGGAAGAGAAGTCCAGCTCCATTGCCAGGAAAGGAGAGAGGGTAAGGACAGAGCTAGACCAGCAGGGGCCGCCATGGATGCCTTGGTGGGGAGCTAAGGGGACTGGCGGTGACAAAAGGGTCAGCACTCCATGACTTTCGCGGGCTCACACACCACAGGCTGTCCCTGCACACGCGCACGTGCACACACACGCACACACACATGTTGCACTGGGGCTCGCGGATGCCCCAAAGCTTGTGATGGCACAGTGCCTCCCACACCTGAAAGGTAGGAGACGCTGAGGAAGTTAAGCTCCGGCCTCTCCACCATGGAACCACCCCGGACACCTAAAATGAGCCCTGGAACGAGGAAGTCAACCTGAACCAGGAGACTGAATAAGCCTTGCTTTCTGTGCCTCACGACACTGTCCTTCAAGTGACTAGTGAAGGCTCAAAGGTTTGTGGTTTTTGCAAAGACGTCTTTGACATTATTGTAACCCTGTGACACCCGGCCATCAGATCCTTTTTTTGCGGTGAACCCCTAGCCATTGACTTGTTGCTGGTCACCTCTCACAGAAGTGCAACTCTCAATAATTTAATCAAGTCAATTAATACTGTTTAATAAATAGGCCAGAAAATTAGCTGAGAGTTTTTCTCGGTAGGGTGCAGCGTGCGACCAAAGTTATGGAAGATTGTCCTTTGAATCACTAAGGCAAACTCTGTTGTGTCATTTTACATAAAGCAATCACATTAAAAAAAAGTTATAAATAGGAAAAATTCCAAAGTTTTCCCACAGACAGACAGGGAAATTGAAACACCAAAGGAAAAAAAAAAAGAAAAGGAAAAGAAAAAAAGAAAAAAGGAAAGAGAAAGAAAAACAAAACGCAAGCACCCCTGCCCCCCCACCCCCAACCCATTTGCGTCAAGTTCTTCTCCATCATACAGTACTCAAGATCTTTGGATATTTTACAATGTACGACTCCAAACTGCAGCGGAGAGAAAACAAAAAGAAGTAACAAGTCGTCTGAAAAACTGAGTTTATAAGAAGTCATTACCTTTACAAAATAAAAACAAAAGCCCCAACACCACTGGATTCCAATTTGTTCATTTTTCCTTGTTTTCTAAAGTCTGGGTCAGCCCCAATCCCTTGGCTGATGGGGGAAACATGGGGATGTTGGCGGATGGGCTCCAGAAGCGAGTGTCAGAAATGGGGGTGGGAATCTAAGATGCAGCTGCCCAGAACAATGGCATCTGAGACAGAAGGGTGTCTGAAGCCGTTCCCTCTGATTGGAATGGCATCGGGGGAGTGCGGAGACAGGGTTCTCTTCTGGGGAGCTGCGAGGGGGACAGAGTCTGTGGTTTTCTCTGGCCTTTTTGTTTTCTGTTTTTGTTTTTTTCTGTTTGCTCAGAAAGAAGCCAAGGCGATAGGAAGAGCCGAAGTCTCTTGTGCCCACAGCTCCTGGACTGGGGACACCGGCCCTGGGTAATCGGTACGGATGACACTCCCACTGTCGGGGCTGCTGAGAAACACAGGCCAACTCAGCAAGAGAAGGAGGGGGGGCAGGGGCAGGAAATGGGAGAGAAGAACAAGAAGGCGCTGGGCCAGCAAAGCGGTCTTCCTTCTCCGAACTTGCTACAAACTCAGGAACCGGGGAGAGCATGCGGGCAATCCTAACGCCCAGAGCCCTTCCAACCCATACTGGAGCCAAGACTTTGCCTCCTGCCCCTGAGGGAAGCCAAACTTCCCAGCTTCCTCCCCGAGGGATGAGGGAGAGGTGGAGGGTGCACAAATACAGCTGAAGGCAATCCTCAGCGATCCCAAAGCCCTAAGGAACAATAAACACAAACCCCAGGTAACCAGGTGTTTTGTCTGTTTCCAGGAATCAGGGTAGAGGAGGGCAGCCACCCGGTGTTACAAGGGGCCCCCATCCCTTCTGTATTGGCCCCAGGAGTACCGAGAGACTTTGTACAGCCCTGGAGGGGGTGTGTGGAGGTGGGGTAAATGCTTAAAGAGCCATCCCAGGGGCCCTGACACAGTGGCCTGCCTGCCCGGAGAGGTGGGGAGTACCTGGAGTTCCCCAGAGCTGCCTGTGGACAAGCCACACCGCAGCTCTTCTCTGTCACCCTTGCCTAGTGTGGCCACATTTCTCACCTGTGCTAATACAGAGGTGAACGTGATTAAATGAGATCTGGTAGGATAGGTGTTTTCAGTAGGACTTTAGGAGTGCAAATCTCCCACCTTCTCCAGAATTCTTTGTAAGGGACAGCTGTGTAGATGTGTGTATGTGGGTGGGTGGGTGGGTTCCAGAAGGGAAACTAAATTAGCGGCCCTTCCTCTGTAGCAGGGTAGAGAGGAATGACCTGTCCAAGGTTATAGGGAGGTGAGGGGAAAAATGGGCCGGGCTTCCAGGAGCCCTCCCCGCCAACAGGGCATTTCCCATAAGGATCCCAGGATGGCCGGAGACTAGAAACATGACCCAAGCAGAGCCAGTCGTAGAGACTTTGCCACAGGACTGTGGGGAGGAGAGGACATGTGCCCCAAGCCCTTAGGGTAGGCCTGAGGTAGGCCTCAGCCCTGCTCCATCCGGTCTGCCTCTGGCCAAACTCCCTCCCTCCATCTAGCCCCACAGAACTCCAAAGTGCCCCTGGGCACCCAGGGTGTGGCTTCCTCTGTGGCACATGCCCCTGTGAGTTTGTGGGTGACAGCCAAAGTGAGAGACAGGTGGAGGCCAGGCCCCGGGGCTCCAGGCCCTTTGGGAAGAGGTGTCCATCTCAGACACCTTCGAAAGGGAGGCGGGGGGGCCCCAGGAGGCCTGGAAAGTATCACTGTTGCTGATAATATTTTTTCTTGTTTCCTTTGTGATTTCAAAGACGAAGTTCAGACCCACTGGGTGGCGCGGGGGGGAGTCTGGCGGGAGAGGGGGCAGGGCCGCGGGACTGGGCGGGGGAGTCCAGGAGGACCAGCCTAGTTGTTGGCTTCGGACATGGAGGCCACGTGGTTGAGGCCCGCGAGCCCCGGGAGGCCGGCCAGGCCCGCGGCCCACGGGTCAGGCAGCGGGAAGTAGGGCCGCGCGGCCGCCACGTTCTCGGCCAGCGCGAAAGCCAGCAGGCCCCCCGCGTCCCTCTCGGCCTCCAGCTGCGCGTGCCCGAACAGCTTCATCTGCGTCTCCTCGAACTGCCGCTCGAGCTCCTGCAGGCTCAGCGCGCCCTTGGGCGCCGCCAGGAAGTGCTTGGCGGGGCTGGGGCCCGGGAGGCACACGGCCGCCCCGCCCAGGTGGCCGCCCACCTCGCCCAGCGCGGGCGGCATCACGAAGGCCGCCTTGTCGGCTGCCGGGCCGCCGGGCCCGAAGAGCAAGCTGGCGGCCCTCCAGGCGGCGGGCTTGCGGCCGCGCCGGGGCCGGGCCATGCGGCAGCTCTGGCGCTTAATGTGGCGGTGCAGGTGGTCGGAGCGCGTGAAGCTCTTGTAGCAGAACTCGCACTGGTAGGGCCGCACGCCCGTGTGGATGCGCATGTGGTTCTTGAGGTCGTAGTTGTGCACGAACTTGGCGTTGCAGTGGATGCACAGGTAGGGCCGCTCCCCCGTGTGCTTCCGCATGTGGATCTTCAGCTTGTCCTGCCTGCAACGCAGAGAGGGCGTCAGTCCCCGGGCCCCACGCGGCGAGCCACCCCTACACTGCTGCCCCCTTCCTCCAGAACCTGCCAAGGCCCGCCCCTGCTGTGGTGCTCAGATCCAGAAAGGGGGCCGTGCTGGGACTTCCTCGCATGCCCTGCCTCACTCCAAACAGGTCCCTCACGGGGATTAGAGGGCTGGAGAAGGAGCTGAGTCTGGAAAGGCCTCCTTCACTCCCCCAACTCCCTTTACTCCTAGGCTCAGAATCTTCAAGAGCCTCTCCATCAGAGGCCTGTCTCAGACTGGAAATGGGCCTTCTGGGGACACTTCTCCCCACAGGTCAGCAGTCTGTTCTTCGTCCCTGCAGGGTGTGACATCCTTTGATACTGGGTTGCACCTTAATTTCATGCCCATTGTCTCCAGGTGACAGTCTTCCCTCCTGTTGGTCCTGTGCTTTTGCCTAGAGCCCCTGGGGCCCATGGTGGCCCCGGGGACTATTGAGATCTGTCTGTCCTCAGCACTAATCTGGGAGGCTGCGGAAGCCGAGCACACCTTATTCAAGTCTCCACACACCGTGGTTTCTTACCCTGAGTCATGGGCTCTCCTCTTTGTCTGCAGAGAATCCCAGGGTTTATAAAAGAGCCAGGTGCGACAAGAATGTAGCCTAATCTAGGGCAAAGCTTTTCAGGATTTAAAAATCTGTTATTCAGGGGGAGGGTATGTGTGAAGGTGGGGCTCCCCCTGGGCTCGGGAGGCCCTGCTCCAGCTGCGGGCCCACCACTAACATGCTGAATGTCTGCAGGCAAGTTACTTAACATCTCTGCACTGAGCCGAACTTAGCATTAGACATCGGTTCCTGTTGTCCAGGGCTGTTGGAAAGAATCTGGGTTTGTGTCAGACTAGATCCAACACACCTCCTGGTGATCTTGAAAAGAAAACTGACTTCACAGGGTTGTCTTCCTAAAGCCTGAGCTCTGCACAAGCCGGCCAATGGAACCTTCCAGCCTGGCTGAAGTGGGGTCAGGTGGACTGCAAGAACTCATCTCACGGTCCTTCTGGAACCTTCCCGACCACGCCTGGCAGGCCAACAAGCTCCTCGTCCTGTCTCCCACGTCCTCCCTGCAGGTGTGGCTCGGGTGGACCATCTGCCTGTAATTTTGGGCTCGGGTTTGAGGTCAGAGCAGATGAGGAGCTCAGGCATCCGCCCTAAAGTGGCCAGATTTAAACCACGCTCTGTAGAACCCCAGGACAGCGGGAGCAGGTCCTGGTCTCCTGGTGTCTCCTGGCCACTAGAGGTCTCACTGGCTCTCATTTCTGGACTGGTTCCCCAGGGGTGGGGCAGGAGAGAAAAGGACATTTTCCTGTACACTGGCAGGGATCAGGGGAGGAGGACCAGGGAGGACAGAGCCACCCCTTCCACCTGTGCTCCCAGGAAGGCGGAAGGGCACCCAGGAGATGGAGATGGGGGTGGGAAGCAGGATGGGCAGGGAGGAGGATGTCAAGTGGGCAGGTGTCTCCACACACCAGACCATCCTCTTGTCCCCACTCCCTGTTCCTGCCACAACCCACCAGCCACGCCTAGGCTGCGTAGCACCCTGTTGTGACATCCCATGTTCCCTTCCCCAGCCAGCTTGCTGCCCTGTGGTATCTACAACCCACATTTCATCCCGTTGACTTGGGGTCTGAACGGGAAGCAGTCTTAGCAAGCAACTGGGCCAGCGGGTCTCAAACTCGAGGCTGCCTAAGAAGGGCCTTGAGGGCTCCATGGGCAGCGTGCTGGGCCCCACTCCCAGAGCTTCTGATCTGAGAGGTGGGATGGTGGGAGAGAGCAGAAGATTTGCATTCCTAACAAGTTGCAACTACTGCTGCCACCCCCCCCCCCCAGCCCTGCCCTGCTAGTCCCCGCACCACCTGAAGAGCCACCTTGGCTGGAGGGGAGACTGGGGTCTCAGGAGGGGAACTTGCCAAGGCCACCAGAGGAGTAATGGCAGTGCTGAGCCTAGAACTCAGGCTTAGTTCCTCAGCACTGCAGGAGCGGGGTGCACGGTACCATTTGTACCTCAAGAGCTAAGTGCCAATTTAGTCGTGGGGGACAGGTCCTGGGACTCCACACATTCAAGGCTCTCAGGGAAGTGCTGAAGCTTGCTGGTCACTGGCCAGGGGACTTGTGTCTTTCCCTGGGCCTGGTGGAGGGTTCGGTGAGGAGTCAGCTCTGGGTTGTTAAATATAGCCCCTTATTGAACCCTCTCCATGAACTGATATGCTGGATATTTTTCAAAATCATGATCACATGTAATCAATAGTATTGATGTGGAGGGCCACCCTCAAGTAATGGACAGTGCAAATGGTAAGGCTTCAGATATTCAGACATAAATACCCATTGCTTCTCCCAAGCTTTTCATTAGAGCATCCAAAATAAGTCACATTTCAGCAGCACTTAACTGAAGTGTGTAAGAAGTGCTCAGAAGATGACGATCGCTTCCTTTTACTGAGCACCTGCTATGAGCCGATGAATATACACCATTTCAGGGACCCTGGAAGGTTGTTATTCATTCAGAGGCAAGTTGTGGTGTAGGAGCGAGGCTGCCAGGGGGAGGGGGTTCTGGGAGTCCCTGCTGTCACTGTGGACCCACCACTAAGTTGCTGGGTGACCTTCAGCAAGGTACTTAACCTCTCTGTGCAGAAGTGAACCAAGGGCCCAACATCAGTTACTATTGTCTAGGACTGATGAGAGAATCTGGGTTCAAATGAGTTAGATTCAACATAGCTAGAATAATTGCCTCACTGAGAAGACGAGTTGAAGCTCAGGGAAGTCAAGCGACTTTCCCAAAGGTATCCGGCCATGAGGGGCAAAGAGGCCTGGGGAGCCATCTGGAGTAGGGTTTTATTTGCAAGGTATTCTGATATTGAGAAAGGTTGATTTTCCAACCAGGGACTCCCAGCCTGTGGCCCAGCAGGGCTGCCTCAGAAAGTGTAGACCAGAATAGTCAGCATTTGTGGCCAGCTCTCTGCCTCTGGGGCCAGAAGACAGGGGCAGGCGTGGGAGGAGCTCAGCCCTGGGCAGGAGCCGGCTGGCCCTAACTATGACTTTTCTTTCCTGGGAGCAGTGGGGAGGGTTAGTAGAGCTGCAAAGCCGATGATAAGTTAGTCCTGGAAAAAGAATTTAGCGATCATCTGGTCTACCAGGATCGCATTAGTATGTTCTGATTCACAGTCGAGTCAGTGGGCCGGGCCACCTATGTTATTGGCAGTACACTTGCTGGGACCTTGAAAATACTGATTTCAATTAAATACTTAATGTTCAAGATGAGGAAAGGACAGAGAGAGAATGGCCTTCTAAGGTCACACCTCCTCCTCATCCCTGTCACGACCTGTGTACGTGGATATAATGTGCACGCCCATTGGCAGAGGCAGGCCCGGGGGCAGGCAGGCTCCAAGAACTGGACCAGGTCCTTAGGTGCCCTGGGCCTCAGTTTCCTGACCTCTAAAATGGGAGGCTGGGCTGCACCATTTTGACCTCTGGTGTTCTGTGAGTGTTTGCATCTGGGGAATGGGTTTACACCGAACCTCCCTCTAACTAGTTGGCTTTGCAGAAGATGGTTCTTCTACCCCTGCTTCCTCACGGATCTGGTTTGTTTGAGGAGGCGGCCTAAGTTTAGCCAGAAAGTGTTCTAGCTTGACTCTCAGGAGCTGAGCTCTTCATCCCTTCCATTTGGGACTGGAGGTCTGGTGGTGCCGATGGCCGATGTGCCAACTGGCTCCTTGGCATGGCTTACAAGGCCCTCACGAGCTAACCCTTCCAGTTACTAACTGAGTTTTAAGTTCGGGGAACCCTCGGTGACTACAGTTAACAATACAGCATTGTATACTTGGAAGTTGTTAGGAGAGTAGATCTGAAGTGTTCTTGCCACACACACACACAATGTAACCATCTGAGGCGATGAGTGTGTTAATGTGTGCACTACCACACATTAGTGTGGTATCCTGACATCGTAGACCTTGGCCTTCTATGCTCTAAGTCCATTATATCTGAATAAAGCTGGAAAAAAAAGATCACCCATCTACTTGCTAACTCCCCTCCCCAGAGTACTGCCCCCCACCCCACTAGACGTATATGCTGGTCCCTCAGCAGGCCACGCTCTGGGGAACTGGTCGACTCTGTGTCTTTGAACACCTGGAGGCATGCGCCAGACTTCTAGCCGTCCCTCCTTCCAGTGCAGAGCCTGCCGTATTATGAAATGGATGCTTGGTAAATCCTGTCTCCTTCCCTTTCTCTGCAGATCTCGTGTTTGGATACCAGTGTGCCATCTCTGGCTCCCACCAGAGGTCCAAGCCCAGATGTCAGCGTGCGTGCTCCTTCCTCCCCAGCCATGAACCCTCTTCCGGCCCCCCTCCTCCCTGCACCTCTTTCTCAGTTTACTTTGGCAAACTGCACTGCTGGAAATGTCTCCCACTCCCAACTCCTCACCTCCACCCTTCAAGGTCAACTTCAAGGGCAATCCTCTACAAACCTTTCCGTGTCCACCCAGGTCTTATCCTTGGCCCTCACCTTCCAGAGCACATGACCTGAATACTGTCCCTAGAGCTAGGTCACTGCGGGGCAAGGAGCCCCTTCCCCCCACCATCACACCCCTCCCTTCCTCCCCACTCCCCCGTTCAGCATCACTTAGTGAGTGCGGGGCACTGCTTTTCTGGCCTCACTCAGTCCGTGGCACCGAAGCTACCCGACCTGCTTTGATGAGAACCTGTCGGACGCTTCTGTATTCTGCAGGGTTGGTACACCACCTGGAGCGTGCAGGGAGCACTCGTGGTGCCTTTGCCGACTGACCCTTGACCTGCAGGTGTAGGAGCAGTTCCCAGAGCTCCCCTGGCTCCGATTCCAATGCGCTCTGGCTCGCCCTGACTTCCCTGTCTGCCATCCCCTTCCCCGACCCTGTGCTGGGGACCAGTCCAGGCTCCGTGCACCCAAGCCTTGATCTGCATTCCCCCTTCCAGTGGGGCATGTCATGGGAAAGCTGTGTCGGTCCTTATGAGCTCATTCCCTCAAGTGAAGGAAAGGGCCACAGGGTCTCGTCCGGGGTCCCTGGCCTCCGCGAGGGCTCCCAGGCCCGACAATGCTTTCCCAGCACCATCCGCCCACACTTCTTGGTAACCTGACAGACTGAGACAACCCCTCTTCCTGGTACCACTGCTAATGACATTGCATTGTCTTAATAAGTCCCCAGGGCTGCCAGGAGTGGGAGGGCTAAAAGGGAAATATGGGGAAAAGGCAGCTGCCGGGCTCCTGGCCTGGTCTGGAGAGCAGACCACTGCGGGTGTGTGTAGCAACCGGCATGGGGCTCACGCGGGCGGCAGGGGTCGGAGGTGAAGCTTTGTAGCCTTTATGGGCTGGTGGCAGGAGGCCTGGTGGACACTGAGGAGGTCACAGTCACTCCCAGGGGCCGGCCAGACAGTGATGCTCAGGGTGCAAGACTCAGGGAGAAGGACTCCATGTGATTGTGGGGTGACCAGAGCTGGGAGGGGACAGCGTGGGGCCAAAGAAACATAGTCTGGTTGAAGCCTTCAAGGCCCTGCCTGAGGCTCCAGGGGTGTCTCATATCTGGAACAATCAGCGGAAAGACAACGGTCCCCAGGGCTGCTTGAAATCGAGCACCGTCTCCGAGGTGAGGGTCTGACGCCAAGGAAGAGACAATGCCATGGTGGGGGAGGCCTTCCCCTCTCTTCTTGGAGAACCACAGCATGAGAGCTACAGGCTGGGCTCTCAGGACAGAACAGGGGCTCTGCGGGAAGGACTCCCCGATCCTTCCACCACCTCTGCTGCCGAAGCCGTCAGGAATGACACGTGGACATTCTGGGAGTCGGCATCTGAGGTCATAACTCAGAGCCTGGGCCAAAAGGGCCACTTTGCCAGAGGAGGGTGGGCCGCTCCAACATCCCCTGGAGTAATGGGAGGTGGGGTCAGCATCAAGGGGAAGGGAAAGGAGCCCCGACCAGAGAGCGGAAGCTCAGCTGTGTTTAAGGAAAGAGAGGGAAAATAGTGTCTAAGAGGAGGAGTCGAGGGCGGCCCGTCCGAGATCCCTCAGCCTCCGAGGGACCCGGTCCCTAGGAGTGGTTTGGCCTTACAAGGGAGGCTGGGAATCCTGAGTCAAGGAGGCAGCAGCTGTTTTAAGGGGCTGCTGAAGTGCCTCCATCTGGGGAGGGAGGGAAGGTGTTGTGGGAGGTGGTGCAGGAAGTCAGCCCCCAGGAGGGTCCCCACGGAAGGGCTATGAGGGATCTGACTACAGGGAGAGGCCAGGGCTCAGAGAAGGAGCCTTGCGGGCCAGCTCCGGGAGGGGGCAGGACAGAAGCATGGAGCCAGCCGGCCATTCTAAAGAATGTGACAGGGAGGGTGGTCATCGGCAGCCTTTGGCATGCAATCGAGTCCCCAGAGTCCCTTGTGTGAGGAGGCCAGGAAAATGTCCAGCCTCCCCCCACTCTGGGGCACCCCTGCTCCTGGGAAGGGGGGGCCCAAGAGCAACTCTGATCTTTCTCAGCAGGGTCAGAGTCCAGCGGGAGCTGGGTGAGGGGAGGTGCTGACTGAGGCAGGAACGCAGCTGCTTCAGGGGGCCCAGATGGCGATCCCTGAGCTGAGCAGGAGCCGACCAGACGGAGGGCAGCAGGGCAGACTCAAGGCCCGGATCTGGCCGGGAGGGCTGGTGAGGGCTGGTGAGGCTGCAGACACAGCCGCCCCCTACGCCCCCTACTACGTGAACTTCAGGAATGTGCTGGGAGGGAGGGTTCTGGAATGCGGCCCTCCTCTACAACCCAGTGTCCTACCCAAACCAGGAGGCTTACTCAGAGAATGTTCTCATATCAGGAGGGCAAGAAGTCTGTCTGCAGCGACTGACCAAGTTTAACATTTTCCCAAGGGAAGGCAGGGCCCACAGACTGGCACGGCCTGCGCAGAAGGCTGTGTGTGTGGGAAAGGCCTGGAGGGGAGGGCCAGCGAAGGAAGGGACTTGGGGTGCTAGGCAGGCTCACTGTGTGGCATGCTGAGATGTGCACCTCCTCCAAAGCCACAGAGCCGGGGCTCCCCTGCAGGGGAGAGGGGTTCCTGAGTCAGCCCTGTGGGAAGGGAACAGGTGTGGGAAATCAGGGACATGGACACCGGATGGCAGGAGCCGCTGTTGTGACTGACTTGGGGCCTGGCTGGATCTGGCCTGTGAAGAGTGTCCTTGTCTTTGAAGTCACTCCCAGGGGCCTGGGCTGGGAGTCATAGGCTGGAGATGGGTGAATGGTAGTCTAATGTGAATTGTGGCCTAGTTTATCTCCCCAAAATGATCCCCCTGCTTTTGTCACCAGTCGTCTAGGTGTTCCAGCCTGGTCTGTGGGGCTAAAGTAAGTTTAGGAGAAGGTGGTGGTGGTGGCGGGTTGCTGGGGGTGATTTGAGTGGCAGGGCCATTAGTGAGGGCTATCCCGGGGAGGCGAGTCCCAGGGACTTTGGGCCCAGCTGCTGTGTGCCAATAAGGGGAGCAGAGTGCCCTGAGGTCAGGGCTGTGGGGAAGACTATGGGGGCGCCCCTGGGGTAAGTGGGGCCCTGCCCCTCTGCACCTGGAGACTCTCCCTCCACTGTCAGCTCCAAGCATCTGGGAGAGATTCTGTTTGGGGTGTCTGTCTCAGAAGCAGCTGTGCGGGGACCCCAAAGCCACCTTGGAAACAATCAGTATCCTCCTTCCAGTCACCAAAGAGGCTGCAGACCCTGCCACCGTCACTTGAACAGATTACTGATACCCTTCTCGGGAAACTTCAAAGAGAGTTTTGAAGCCACCCAAGACAGTGGGTCTCATTATTTTGTAAGGCTCATCTTATTTTTTTCCCCGGAAAAGTACCACCCCTGATTTGCTATTATTCAGCTTGGCTCCAAAAAAGAAAAAAAAAAAAAGGTCACTCTCTCCTCAAAGGCCAAAGCTGGGCCCCACCGAGGAAACTCAAAACAACGAGCCCCCAGCAATTCCCAAAGAAAAATCTCCAAGAGGATATGGAGTAGTGGCAGTGCCCTTGGAACAAGTGTGGGTCTCAAGGGGAGTTCTTCGCCAGGGAACGGGGCAGTGTGGGGCAAGGACCTAGTCTGGTAAGTCACGGTCACAGGGCAGGGTCCACCAGGCTCTGTCTGCATCCGATCCACAGAAATGACCAAGCCCTGATGCAACACCACCCGCCGGAACTTTCTCCACTGTCGCAGTGCCTGGGTCAGCCTCACACCAGTGACCACACCCAGCACCAACAAACCCTATTTTCCCATATGAGGACCAGCAAAAGGGAGCAGGGAACACATCTGAGCCCACAGCACCCCCCCTCCCCAATCAGTTCTGAACCCAAATGTTGCAATGGAGAGAAAGCACATATCACACGCTTGCTGAATGGCACGGAGTCTGTGTCAGATGGAAGGTTTGTGATGTACTGATTTAAGATCTCAAACTTTATAACCGCATAGAGTGAACCCTCGTCCTGACATGGAGAATCGGCGGGAGAACATAAAAGGAGGCTGATCCTTTAGATAGGATCCAGAAGAGGACTGAAAGGACTACAGGGAGGGGGTGGTCTCTGCAGTCTCCCGGTCACAGATTTTGGTGTCATACATGTCCCAACTCTGGCATTTTCCTCTCCATGCACTTACAGGTGGCCAATTTGCCACAGAGAGGGGGACTGCTCCTCTGCAAGCAAAGGCCATGGCAGGAACCGCCCCATCGTCCCAGGGCAGGGCTGTGGTGACGGTCTCTGCAGCAACTCAGGACGCGGCCGAGCATGCGTGGAGTAAACTAAAGAGGCGACACTCCACTAGGGGGCTTCAACCTGGCTCCCGTGGGTGCACAGTAGGGGAGGGGAGAGGGAGGTCAAGCAAGCACAGCGCGGGGGGGGGGGGGGGGGCTCGCTCTGCCTTACCCGGGACAGCTCTGCGCTCACCTATACTGTATCTCAGCCTTCCACCTCATCTGTATTTCAGAAAACCCTCTAGCTCTTGAAATGGGTTTGGGAATCCCTGCACCAGGTAAGGCGTCGCGTACGCGCCTTCTAGAAATAAACTTGACATGCCTCTCGGATCCAGCGGGGCCTCCCCGGAACTGGATGTCTCCACATCCCAGCCCTCCGTGTCCCGCTCTGACCCTCCCGCCCCGACCTGGGGGCGGCAATACACACCTGGTGAAGCGGACCTCGCAGATACTGCACATGTATGGCTTCTCCCCGGTGTGGGTCCTCATGTGCCGCGGCAGCTTCCCGGCCCCCATGATGACCTTGTGGCAGATGGGGCACTGCTGGGAGGCCTTGGGCTTTAGCTTGCGCTCCTCCACCAGCGGCCATGGCGGGAAGAGGCCCCCCAGGTGGGTTGCACTCAGGAAGTTGAGATAGGCACCGTAGTCACTCTCCGCCTTGATGGGGCCCAGCGGCCCCCCGGGAAGGTCAGGGAACATGTCCTTGAAGAAGTCGCTGGGGAAGGGGGGCGGTGGGGGTGGGGGAAGCTCCTCCTTCTCCTCCTCCTTGATCTTCCGGTTCTTGATGACCAGGTCTAGCGGCCCACTGTCCATGGGCTGCTCGGGCAGCTGGGCAAAGGCACCGAAGTCCCCCGGCCAGAGGTGCGGGAAGAAGTCGGGGGCGAACGGCGATAAAGAGGGTCTCCTGTCGGCGATGTTGGCCTTGGGGTACAGGTTCTCCCTCAGCAGAGATTCGATGGAGAAGTCCCGGATCACGCCCAGATGCCCAGGGCCGCCGGCCTGGAAGGAGTCAGGGAAGTCCCTGGGTGTGTCCGAATAGGCCTTCTCGGTGAGATGGTCCGTCTTGGAAGGGCTTTGGTGGCAGTTGATGTCCTGGGGGTCAGGCAAGTTTTCTTGATCGGCGAAGTCCTCTGTGTCGTCGTCCTCATCCTCCTCCTCTTCTTCCTCCTCCTCCTCCTCATCCTCCTCATCCTCGTCCTCCTCGTCATCATCGTCGTCCTCCTTGTCGTCCTCCTCCCCACCATCCCCGCCAGGCTCCATGATCTCCAGACACACGTTCACGATGCACTGGATCTCCAGCATCCTGGCAGCATTGAGGATGTGCTTGACGTTGGCGGCGGTGATGGTGAGTGTGGACGTGTAGGCGAAGTCCAGGATGGCGGCCAGGGCCTCGGGCTGGACGAAGTCGATCTCGTAGACGTACGGCTGGCTGGCAAGGGCGCCGGCCGTGAAGAGCTTCTTGAAGTACTTGCTGCAGGCGGCCAGGACGGAGCGGTGGGTACGGTACTCCTGCTCCTGGACCACCAGGAGCACGTCGCAGAGCAGGCCGTCATGCCGCTGCTCATTCAGGCTGCACAGGACCTCACTGCTGTGGTTGGGGAAGGGAATGCCGATGAGCTCGTCGATGCCATTGGCCATGGTCTCAGCCAGAGCCCTGCGGGGATGCACGGAGAGGAGACCAGAGTTAGAGGCGTCGTCCCGGGAGGGGATCCCCAGTGCTGGGGCCCCCCGGAGGCCAGGCTGCTGGGCGTGGTGGCCACAGCACCTCTGCCCTCCCCTGCCCTCTCCCCCTCCACCAGGAGGTCGGCCTTCCTCTTTCTCGGCTTTACCAAACCCCACCTGCCGTTCAGGGCCCGGCTCGCCAGCCAGGCTTTTCACTGTCCAACGTGCAGGTTCTCTCCCAGGACCCCGAAGGCCCTCAGAGTTAGGCTTCTCGCTGGGCAGCAGGCATCCGCCCTGCCACCAAGGCTGTGGAAGCTTCTCGCGAGCATGTTTTCCACTGAATTCCATTTCACTGACGTGGAGCTTTAGAAACACCAGAATGGACCACAGGAACCCCAATGCTCTGCGTACTACAGGGACAGCGTCCACCACTTACCCACATGACATCCGTGGGTAAAGCGCCACAGGGGGAATGGTCTGTCACCTCTTGGGGCTCCTGCTGGGAAAATGCTCTGTTTTTTTGTCTTTTTTTTCCCCCCACAAAACCTGTGACTCAGGTAATGGATGAACATCTTGATCCTACTAGCTCCTGTGAAGAGCTGGGCTGGGGTGCCCCCCCCAACCCGTTTATGTTGAACTCTCAACCCTCAGTATCTCAGAATGCGACTGTATTTGGAGGTAAGGCCTTTAAGGAGGTGATTAAAGTTACAGTGAGGTCATATGAGCGAGCCCTCGTCTGGTCTGACTGGTAGCCTTGTAGGAGGACGGGAGGCCACAGACACACACGGAGGGGCCACCCCACGAAGACACAGTGAGAAGATGAGTCAAGGAGGCCTCACAAGAAACCAAACCCACAGACACCTTGACCTTGAACCTCCAGCCTCCAGAACCATAACAAAATCGATCTCTGTTGTTGGAACCCCCTGGGCTATGCTGCTTTATGGCGGCCTGAGCAAATGGATAGAGCTGCTAGGAATCTTAAAACCAATTTTGTGGCCCAATTTCAGCATGGAAACCGGGGTCTTATAGCCCACGTTTTGCCTTCTGGACCTTCCTTCTGGCTTCATCTTAGCTAATGAAGTTTCTCTTCTTTTGCACATCTTGACCTCTTTTTTTCTTTTAAATACTGACCTATACATGTATATACTTCCTATTTATGTGTATCTGTGAGCTGTTTCAGATATAAAATACACATTCAAATTCCACATTAAATTCAAGTATATCGTTAATGTATCCTGTCTGTATTCTGTTACCCTCAGGGAAAGGCATCCCCTGCAGGGAGAAGCCTCTTCTGAGACCCCTTAGCATTCTATATATAAAATACAAAGTGTGTCCAGTGAGAGCTGCGAGGAGGGAAAAGTACAGGACGGAGGACAACAGGAATTACCTCCCTGTAGGGAGTAAGACTCACAGCCCAAGTCTGCAGGTTCAACCCAGACAAAAAGCCACCTCAATTTTTATGCCATCACCTAGAGGAGGACCCTTCTACTTAGGGCAAAGCTTGATTTATGGCCCATGATAAATCCTAGCAAAACCTGGGCCATACCCCAGTGCGATTACCGTGGACAGAAGATAAAAAATAAAAACAAAACCTGAAATCCTTGTGCCCCTGTGGGAAGAGCTTTGGGGATCCCCACACATTTATCTTCTGGATGTTTCTACTCTGGGAAGGCAGATGCAGTGGGAGGGGAGGAAGGAGAGGAGTGAGGAGTGCCGGGCACACAGTATGTGCGAATGGGGTCTGGAGGTACCAGGAGCTTGGCAGGAAGTGCAGGGTGCTGATGCTCTTTCCCCCTTCCATCCTCTCCCATCACCAAGGGCCCAAGGCTTCCCTGAGCAATCCCAGTGGTGGGAGGGGCTCAGGAGGTTTCCCAGAATGACAGCTTTGCTGCCTTCCCACCTTCTCCTCTTTAAGAGGGCCAGAGACCCCACAGGCCAGACATTCATTCCTTAACTAGTCACTGGGTTTTTCCCAGCGCCAGGCTCTGCCCTGACCTCCAGGAATGCACAGAGGGCAGTCCAAGAAAGCCCCTGTTCTAACCCCGCTTACAGACATAACTGTGATAAAGATACAGCAAGATTCACCAGAGAGAACTGAGAGCTCCCTACACACCTCTCAAAATGGCTAAAATAAAAACAATGATAACACTAAATGCTGGTGAGGATGTGGGGAAATGAGTACTCAGCCATTGCTGGTGGGCATGTAAAATGGCACAGCCTCTCTGGAAAACAACTTGGTGGTTTCTGAAAAAAAACGAAATTTGTAACTACCATTTGACCCAGCAAGTACTCTTAAGCATTTATCCCAGAGAAATAAAAACTTAGGTCCACACAACCTCAATGCAAATGTTCTCAGCAGCTTTGTGCATAGTAGTCAGTAACTGGAAAGCACCCGGATCTCCTTTAACGGGTGACTGGTTCACCAAGCCGCAGTGCATCCATTCCAGGGAGGATTAGGCAGCGATCAAAAGAAATGAGCTACTGATGCATACAATTCCTGGAAAAGCCAGAGTGAAAAAAGCCAATACTGGTAGGTTACATCCTATATGATTCCATTTACATAATGTTCTCGAGGTGGCATAATTATAGAGATGGAGAACATGGGAGGGGTGGGGCAGGAGGGAGGTGGGCGTGGCTATAAAAGGGCAACACAAGGGACCCTCCTGGCGATGGGAATGTCCTTTACCTAGACTGTGTCAAGGTCACGATTGTGGCTGATGTGGATGATGTGGCTATGATATTGAAAGATGTTACCATTGGAGAAAACTGGGTGAAGTGGACATGGGATATCTGGACGATCCTTAAAACCACATGAGAATCAAAAAATGATGTCAAAAATAAAAAGTTTAATTTAAAAAATCAAATGATAGGAAACAACCTAAACCAATCAATAAATCTTCTTCAACCCCAATGTTATTTATCATCTATCTATAGTAGTGGGTGGGGTGGTGGGGAGAGGGTAACTACTTTACTCAGAGTGGTCAGGGAGGACCTCCTTGAGGAGGTGTCCTTTGCCTGGATGGTAAGAAGGATCCAGCCACAGGACGATGTAGGGAACAGAGTTCCGGGCTGTGGGAACAGCAAATGCAAAGTGGGCAGTTCCACCAAGGCACTCTAGGTCTGGGGGGCCAGGTTCTGCTCTGAATGGCCCCATTTAACTTGGTTCTTGTCTACTGAAAAACCATCCCACTTCTACCTCCCTCCAGGAGGCTCAGGTCCCCCTGAGGTCCTATGTAGGACTCCCTTCTTTCTCTCTGACTAGGAAGGGCAACCCCAGGCTGCAGGCCTCAGTTGTCCATGCCAGAGAGAGAGTTCTAAGGCTCCTTCCTTCCCGACACCCCAGGCTTCCCTGCTGCCATGGTGGGGGCTGGAGGGAAAGCAGAGGGCTTGAGAATGCCCGGCAAGCTGAGAGGCTCCCTGCTGGACGGCTCCTTCTACACCTCTACACCGCCGTGACTGCCGGGGCTGCTCTGTGGGAGGCAGGTCCCACATGACCTTCTGTGCAGTGAGCTCAGACACTCAGGCCTCTTAGGGCCGGATGGCAGGATAGGGTTGGGCCGACCACAGGCCAAGTGCCTGCCCCCCACAGTGGGGCTCCCAAATGAGGGACCAGGACCATCACCTGGCCTCAGGCCTGCCCATCTTACAACAGCTGGCATTTAGCTCCTCTAATCTTCACCGTCCCTATCTTACAGAGGAGGAGAGGGAGGGACAAAAGGATAAATCACAGAGATGTTAAGTTATAGCATAAGGTTCTGAGTCCGAAGGCTGGCTCGCCAGGCCAAGCTCTTAACCCCAACCACTCTACCTCCTACCTCCACTCCACAAAGGCCACCAGGAAGGCCAGGGTTCCTTGCTATCCCCCGAGGGGCCCAGACTTCGGGCATTCAGAGATGCTCAGGGCTGCCTCTGTGCAGGAGGGGTGGAAAGGATTTGGGTCAGCAGGGGAGGTTGGTCCTCCCTTCCCAGGAGGGCCAAGCAGGCAGGGCCAGCAGGAGGATGAAGGCTAGGCCGGCTCCGGGAGCTGCAGCATCAGGAAGACTTCCCAAGCAAGCTTCAGGCTGTGGCTTTCCTCCGACGGGACAAAGCAGCTCTGAGACCCCAGAGGGGACCCTGGAACTCGCCCACTTTCTCCTGGGGAGCCTCCCCTTCTCCGTGCAAGCGCCCCCCACCCTGACCGGTGGTGGTTCTGGCAAAGCTCTGCCAGGCAACAGGGGAGGAGGGGAGAGGAGGAGATAGAGCTGAGGCTCTGTCAGTCTTTCCCATCGCACTTTCTGAGCTGACGGCCCACAGCACTGATCTCAAATGTGCCCCACACCCTAGCCCTGTACCCTCTTCCCTTTCTAATTCCCCGACACAAAACCTGCTTCTCAGCCTCCGTGCCTTTGCTCGTGCTGAGCTCCTGGCTGGAGAGCACCCAGTACCCTGCACGTCCATCATCCTCCTTCTCCAGGAGGTCACAGCCCACCCACACTCCCAGACTCCACTCAGATGATCCTTTCTCCGGCTCTCAATTCAGATGCCCGGATGACTCCTGCCATGGACCTCACTCTGTCTTGGACTTATTTTCTGCGTCTCGGTGTTTCTGCTCGAAATCAGACTGTCATTATGGCACACAGCTGGTGAAGGCCAAGGGCAGAGGCTCAGTGGCACCAAAATTACCGTTGTGCATGTTGCTCACTATACAATGGTACTGCCCTTAAAGGCGGACTCAAAGATGTCATTCTTGTCTCCTGGCAGCAAGGACTCATGGCCTCGCGTGGTCCACTTCCTCGTGAATAGGGCTGACCTGTGTAACCAGTGGGATTTGCAGACGTGATGGTGTGCGACTTCTGAAAGGAGGTTATAAGGGGCCTTCTGGGGGAAGCCAGCTGTCATGTCATAGGGACACTCAGCATTCAAGCAGCCCAATGGTAAGGGACCACGGCTTCCTGCCGGCAGCCAGCACCGGCTCACCCGCTGTGTGACTGAGCCACTGTGAGAGGGGGCTC